TYTWKATWAAGTATAGAGATGGGACCTCTGGATTATACAATGTACATCCTTTCGATAATGAAGATTYCTGAGTTAGAACAAGAGACTTACATGTGTACTTTGTTAATTTGGTTTTGTAATTCCTCATCTGATGGAAGCTCTTCTTGTTCTGAGTCCTCCTCCAAGACATCATCRTCTGTGTCGATATCCTCRTCTTCATCAGATCCTACATCGCTACCRGACAACTCTGCTTCTTCTTCATAAAACTTTTTCTTGTCAAAAATCCTAGARAAGTGAATGGTCATTTGAAACCTGATCATTTTATTTACAAGATGTCATTTGATATTTAATTATTGGTTAGTTTTTTTATCGTTTTTGTCTTCACTTTTCACAAGAAACTTGAGAATCTATGAATGTATTGTCAAAATGCTTAGGAAGGTTTTYGTGATCCAAGTTGTATAAACAGAAAGAACTTACTTTTCAGCCTTGCGTTTCTTTTTTACTCTCAGCTTATCCATATCCAAATCACTTCCTTCTTCTTCATTGTCATCTTCGTCGACATCATCATTATCGCTGGTATCATTAAAATCATCTTTATTTTCATCATCATCATCATTGAAATTATCTTCATCATCATCATCCATCTTATTGATGTCATTTCCTGCCTCTTCATTCTTGTCTTCCTGGATAAAATCTGCTACATTTTCATCAGCATTTTTTGGTGTATCTGGTTTACTTGCAAACATCCCAGAGCACAATCCAAGTAATTCATCCATATTGGATGACTGCGAGTTCWCATCTGCKATAAGGGTTCCAAGAAGAGATTTTGGCTTTCTTTTTCTTGTATCTGAGCTAGTCATKGAGTCTGTTYCTGTAAAYTGTCCAGAGCAAAGACCAAGAATTTCTTCCATGTCAGCATTTGCTTCTGAGACATTAGTGTGTTTRGGACTTTGCTTTTTTTGTTTCTTGGTAGAAAACAGGAACCTAGTATGGAAGAAAGGGCAACATTGATGCACATTGTCATTATCTAAACTTTGTTAAATTACACGTGGCTCTGAAGACAGCTTTCACTGCAACAGTATTGCTATACATTCTAAGACTATTATGTTTCAAGGTAGCATTATATTGGCTCTTTAAGCTAATATTTCTCTAGCCAAAAAATCTCTTTAKTGCTGAAGCTTTTAGATATTTTTTGGAGAAACATGGCTTAAAGACACAGTATTGCTATAAGATGCTTTTCAGTAAAAATATACTTGAAAAAAAAAGGCTTGAAACATACCCCTGAGTGTCTAGCATTTGAGTCATCTGACTTTCTTCTTCAATGGCAAAAGAGAAGCCATTTGTGACACTGACTTTGTCTTGTGGGTCTTCATCAAGTGTTTCAGAATCAAACAAATCCTTCAACAATGAAAATAGTGTAATGAGTGTAATGATATGATATAGAAATGCAAAAATACTTGCAAAAAACCTGATACAACTGTCATATTTTTAAAGACTGACCTGAGAATCTTCTATGGGAAGTGTAAGTTGGGACAGTTTTCCAGTCTAACAAGAGAAAAATAATTTTAAAATCCATTACAAAATAAAAGAAAATGAACCTCGAAAAACTAAAACACAATCACCATTGGGGTTATTAAAAAGCTATCGCAGTAGTTTTCAAGAATGTAAGTATGAAATTTCTTCTTGCAAAAGAAACATTTTTTTCAAATCCAAATTTCACCTTCTTTGGTCTTTTCTGTGTATTCTCCTTGTAGCTGCTGTGTCTAGCAATCGGAGGTAGCATTGATGATACTTCAGAATCAGACTCCAGATGAGAAAAGTTTCTCTTCCCTTCRCCCTGTCCAGCTTCTATAATGCTGCTGTCGCTTGTCAAATCAGAAGCAAGCTGTAAGCTSAGACTTGCTTCAGGTGATTTAAAACTTTTCGTTTTGGTAAATTCCTCGGGACTTTCATAATCATCATCAATGCTGTCAAGTCGGAGGCAAAGGCTTTGTCTGTTATCAGTTTCTTCTGTGTTATTCCCTTGTGAATCTTCACTGATGCTTTGGCTATTGCTATTCACATTGTCTTCYGTTTTTTGCTCTGTTGATAGCTGTRTGATATTAGATCGTTTGTGCTTTTTATGTTTGTGTCTCTTTGTTTTGTCTTTRTCACTGAAACTAGAATTGTCATCATCATTGTCACTAAGTCCTTCATCACTGATATCTCCATCAGAGCCTGAGTTGTCTTCTACCGCATTAGAATCACCATCATCTTCATCAGCTTCTGCATCAATGAAATCATTTTGAGCTGGTTTATCGTTGTCTTCTTCCTCCTGTTTTGCTTCATCATCAGCATTCCATTGATCCAACTCATAATCTGAATCTGATTCTATGGAAAATAAATAAAAATATCTTTCATCAATGAAAGAAAAATGATAAGAATCCAGGTTGTGTTATCACATGGTGAAAGCCATATAGTTCAAAGGTTTTAGTAGTAAAATAATATGTACATAAAATGATTTTCCACACACCATCTGTAATTTCTGCCTCTTCTTCTTCATCACTTATTTCTTCATTGTCAAGTTTTCTTTGGGATTCATGAATCTTGCGCAGCTCTTCCCTTTGCTTTTTCATCTTCACTTCAAGTTGCTCTTTCAAGGCTTGCAGTCGTCCACCTAAAAGTGTGGTGTTTTGTTAAGCTTTCAATCAATCAATCAATCAATCAATCAATCAATCAATCAATCAATCAATCAATCAATCAATCAATCAATCAATCATTCCATCACTCACTCACTCAATCAGTCAATCATCCAGCCAATTAATAAATCAATTAATCAGCTAAAGCAGAGATCACTCAATGCCCTGTTTTAATGGTATACATGTAGAATGTATCCACCAATATGTTGTAGCACTTCTAAGGACCTAAACCCTAGCCTTATTGATGCATACATGTGCTACTATACTTTGCTATCAAACATATTTATAGCATGGAGTATATTTATAGCACATAGTACCTGGAACTGGTTTGTCAGGTTTTTTCGATGGTTGCTGTTGGCTTGTCTTCTCATTGTCCAATATAACTATACTTTCTTTCTTTACGATTTCTTTAGGCTTTTTTGTGTGCTTTGCAAACCTAAAAATAATAATTTTAATGTTAGGGTCACAAGATCACCCAATGATTGAATAATTATTTATAACAATAAGTGTTACCTTTGCATCAATTTCTGTACACCCTTTGTGGGAAGTTTGTCTGTTGGGGTCTCGTCAAAGAAGAAAGGATCATTTGCATCCGACAATTTTGGAGTTGTAACTTCTTTATTCTCTTTACCCTTAATGACATTCAGTTCAGCTGGCTGGGAGGAACTATCAATCTCAGTTTTATTAGAATTTTGAGTTAATTCAGACCTAAAAGATACAAAAATTCAAATGTAAGGGTTATTGTGATAGGAACTATATAATGTATATACAAGTGCCTCATTTTCCTACTTATTAACATTGATTGTCAGTAATGGTGAAAACTATAGTTTTTCATCATCATCATCTCTCTGCTCGCTAGAAGACTTTTCTCTCAAACGCCTTGTCTTTAATGACAACAATAAAATTACAATCATATAAGTAAGAAAACATACTTCTTGGCGGGAAGCGTGCTAATAGGAACCCTCTTCAAGAAATGTGTGATAGGTTTCACAGCAGGTGTATAGTATGGTAGCTTGAGACGTGAATCTAAAATACAAAGACAAATTTAGATTATGTTTTTATAAAAGTTCATTACTGGGGCAAAAATGTCAAGCATAGATCCCTTGGGAACTGGAATCCATTGTGTTGCCCCTCAAGGAGTAGTATTCTTATGAAAATATCATACCTCGTAGCATTCTTTGACATTCACTGTGAATTGATTGAATAGCAGCTTTTTTTAATTTTCGAGGTTTTGGAGACTGTTAATAAAAAAATATGAATATAAGAAGCTTTTTGCAATAAAAAAATTTGTAACTGTAGCTAAAATCAAACAATTCTATAACTTATATTAAATTTCAACGGCATTACTATTTTCAACTGCATTTTTTACTAATGCTTTCATGATTAGATTGACAGCTAAACATAGACATTAGTACAAATACAACAAGATATAACAGACCCTTGTTTTCTGTTTGGTAGAATGGGGAACTTCATCATTTTCCTCGTTTTCTTTCTCGGACTCATCGGAGCTTTCATTTGTCTGAGGAACTTGGGGAGATCCTTCATCGTCAAAAATATCATCCTTTTCTGTAGTTTTATCCTCAGCGGAATTAGATATATCATTATTTAGTTCAGGAACATCGTCTTCTTGTTGTCCGCCATCGCTATCGTCGTCTACCTCAGCATCGAAGATATCGTCGTTCGTAGGGAAAGACTAAACATAAAATAATGCCTTAAGACCACGAATCAATTTTTAAAACTTTCAAAAACAAGATTACCTCGATGGCGCTCACTGTAGCCATCATTTTTAGACAATATTACACTGCTCTGGACCAACACCTCGAGTTATTCAATTTTCCAAAGCGAATTTCCCGCCAAAGGAACCTTCGGTATGTTATCGGAGTAATTTCGGAAAATCGGGAATAAACGGACTTATTCCGAATATATGACGAATACTATTCGTCACCGGTAGTCACCGGCCAGCTGTGGTTTTTACCCGAGCTAGTTCCAGTCTTTTGTATTTCTTTGACGGTTTCGAAAGCTGAAGTTTCTTGACAAAAAACAGTTTTAATATCCTATATATTTGCTCTTGTTGACGTTTTCAATATCAAAATGGATAGTTCTTTGCTTAAAGATTTGGCAGATTTCAAGAAAAGAGCTGCAAGTCGGCCAGCCGTCGAAGCAAAACGGCCCAAACCCACATCTACTTCGACAAAATCAAAGACTCCAGTAAACCTACCTAAAGAACTTGCACAGCCAAAGAAACCGGCTCCCTCTTCTCTAGATTACAAGACTCCGAAGTTCCGAAGTAAGCACAAGTTCGCTGTGATGGCTGCTATTGTTGATTTTATGAAGAAGAGACATTTAAAAAGAGAATTTACTCCATTAAGCTTGACAGAAATTCTTGATCATATCAACTATACTGACATCAGTCAGAGTGATAAAAACTGGCTGGGAGACCGAGCTTTGAAAGAAAATCCCAAGCTAATTTATAAAGACGATAAATATGCATTTAATCCAAAGTACAACATCAAAGATAGGAAACAGTTGCTTAGATTGTTAGAGAAACACGAAGAAAGAGGTTATGGCGGGGTGTACTTGGATGACATCAGAGAAAGTCTCCCAGATGCAGATAACGTGATTAGATCGATTCCAAAGCGTATAATATTCATCACTAAACCTGATAAGAAAGTTGTTTTATTCAATAAAAATAAGACGTACAATATTACAGTTGATGAAGAATTTCAAAAGCACTGGAGAGCAATATCAGTAGATGGTATAGGTGAAGCAGATATAGACAAATACCTCAACAATGCTGGTATTGTAGCAATGCAAGACTCTGGTGTCAGTCAGAAGCAGACACCACAGCGTAAAAAGTCCAGGAAAAGAAAGCAATTTAAGAAACTCAATGATCATTTGGATGAGAGTATGCTGAAAGATTACACTCAAGAGCAAAACCATTGATGGCTGTACAGTCTGTAGTTATAGGTAAAATGGCAGGATGACAACTAGACAGCTATTTTTCAAATGAAAGTAAGTGTTTTCATCCTAACCTCTGCGGCAGTGAAAGAGGAGCACATAAGACATCTGCCACAGAGGTTAGCAGTTTATATTCATGTATACACTATGTGGTTCAGAACTTCATGCAAGATCCCATGAATTGGCACTTACTAGTATATTACTGTGTTACAGTGGGTTAGGGTTAGGGTATGTATCAGGTCGGGTCTTACATGAAGTACCAACCACTATGTGGATAAAGTATGGCTGTCATTTAGGTTGTCATAATAAAATATAAAAAAGAAGATCTCAAGGGCAGTCAGTTAATACAGAAGTAATTCTAGTTACAGGTAGGGATCCCATTTGAGGAATTAGTTATGTATGTACAAGAGCTACAGTACATCCAAATGAGGCTCTTGAGGTGGTTAAGAAATAGGTCTTTGATGACAAACAGGCTCATCAATACAGCTTATTTCACTGAATTTGTAGTTTGACATTTTATGTACAATTCAAGTATAGAATCTTACTACTAACTGTCTTAAATCAAATATCAGAATCATAATTACTGTAAATAGAGTGCAAGTCACATAAGCATGAAACAATTCTTAACTATGTAGTGCTAAATAAGATTTAGTTGTCAACTAACTAAGAATTGAGAACAATGCTACAAAGGAATTTTTAATAATTGGCATTGTGTTTATGCTTTGTTKAATTCTTATTTAGTTGACAACTAAATCTTATTTAGCAATACATATTAAGAATTGTTTCATGCTTATGTGACGTGCACTCTAAAGAGTAATAACATTACAAAAATAAGTGAATATAATAAAACCAAACTCAAAAGTTACTGTTACCTGTTACAATGCGAAACATCACAACAAAAAATTCTTAAACTACTAAAAATGATAGAAAATACTATTATTTTCTGATTTGGTCTCTTCATTACACTAAAACAAAAGCACTAATCATACAAGGGTAATCCTTTGTTGCTGATATCATGTGTATCTGGAATACTCTATGATATTTCCAGGAAGATATTGAGATAGTACTAATGTTACTTCCCAATACTCTCACTAAAACAATGTACAAAGGACTGTTTTATTTTGAATATTCTTCATTTATTTCGTTGCGAATCACTCTCCTAAGTATTTTTCCACTTGCAGATTTTGGAATCACATCAACGAAAGTAACACCACCTCTCAATCTTTTATGAGGTGAAACTTTACTGGCAACATAATCTTTGATTTGTTCTTCTGTTATTTCTCCTCTTGGGACCACAAAAGCTTTGGGGACCTCACCCCCTTTCTCATCAGGTATTCCTATGACGGCAGCATCAGCTATGCTTGGATTACTCAATAAAATTGCCTCCAAGTCAGCAGGTGCAACCTGTACAACATAGCACAAGTGTTAATAAACTAATCCAAGACTCATAAAGAATTGAGAAGAGATTTTGAGATCAAGCTAAAATTTTCTAGGATGCCCATTTTTCCTAGTCTCCTCGCAGCCATGTTTTTTTTTTAGCGTGACGCGTGACTGAAACTAAACACGGCTGCGAGGAGACTACATTTTTCCAGGCACACATACTATAACCTTCAATTATATTGATAGAAAAGTTTAGTATTTTTTTAACTTTGGTAACTTTGTAGGGCTTTGTTGTTACCTGGGATCCTTTGTACTTGATGAGTTCCTTTTTTCTGTCCACAATGTAGAAATACTTATCTTCATCATAATGACCAATATCACCAGTATGGAGCCAGCCGTCTTTGTCAAAAGTTTCTGCTGTTGCCTTTGGATTGTTCAAGTATCCTGACAATAATGTTTCATTTAAATTACCAGTGTAAGCTTCTTATTACTGTAGAGCATCATGATTTATTTATATACTCTACCTTTGGCAATAACTGGTCCTCTCAGGCATATTTCTCCATCTATATTTGGTCCAACAGGTTCACCATTCTCTAAATCAATCACCTGTTATGGATAATTAATCTCAAATGAAAATACTTCTTTAAAATTGATGTAAGTTGTGCAGCAATTACATTTACAATTAAACATTTCTCTAACATCAATTCCATAAGACTAATCTAATAATGATGCCAGAATAAATCCACATGAAGATGATACAAAACTAAAATGATAATAAAAATTTAGAGTATATTGCAGTGAAATATAGTGTATGTCCTTAGTTTGTTTTACCTTTCCTTCCATTAGTGATAGCAGAGTACCAACAGATCCACTTTTTGTAAGAGATTTTTCTGATGGACTTAGGATACATGCTGCTGTTGTCTCTGTCATTCCAAAACCTACACAAAGTGTACATGTAGAAAACAACAGTTGCAAAGATTTCACAGAAATTACAAACAACATTGTGTGAACTCCTCAAGTCGGACAAAAGCAAGCATTCAATGTTTTTGCAATTAAAATTCTCAACTTTACTGGATTACTTTCAAGACTAAATGAAAGGCAATAAGCTGAGAGGTTTGTGTGGCTGTTTTTGTATGCAACTGACCTACCTTGCCTAATTACTCTGACATTAGGAAACTTCTTCCAAAGCATTTCTTCCACATCTTTAGCCAGTGGTGCAGCACCACATAAGATTTTCTCAACTGCTGTCAAATCATAGTTGTCCACCATTGGGTCTTTTGCAAGAAATAGAGCAAGGGGTGGGACAATGGAGAGTGATGTCAGCTACAAAATGATTAAATAATGGATAGTACCCGTTTGCTTTTATTGACAGAAAATAACTTTAACTTGCAACTCCCTCTTTCAGTTATTTCTAATACTTCTGGTTCAACTGTACATACACCCTGTACACGCTCCTAATAGTTACTACTATTGTGTTCAGTTGTTAACTATTACCTTTTCTCTTTCAATTATTTTTAAGAACATCTCTGGTTCAAACTTCTGCATACAAACAACTTTTGATCCAAGGTGAAGAAACATACCAATGATTACTCCAAGACCATAGACATGGAAAAAAGGAAGCAGCCCTAATACAGATTCTTGTTCAATATCTTCTCTTAAAGACATGAATTTCTCATTCCCAAGTATCAGAGCATGAGCAATATAATTAGTATCAGTTAACATAACTCCCTTTGGGCGACCAGTTGTTCCACTAGAGTATGGGAGGCAAATTATGTGCTCATCAGGGTTATCTGTTGTGTATACCTCAGGTAGATGTGAGCCATCATCCTTTACAATAAGATCCCACAGGTAGTCAATGTCAAGGACATTCTGTGATGGAAGGTTGACCTTTGTGGCTGCTTCCTTTGCTGCAGCCATGATGGGACTTGTTGATATAACATATTTAGCACCACAGTCTTGTAACTGGTATGCAATCTCATCTGCTAGAAGTGCCGAGTTAATGGTTGATATAATATTACCAGTGGCTTGTATTCCATAAAATATGGGCACATATTCAGGAATATTGGGAAGGTGCAGAGCAATGACGTCATCACTACCTACTCCAAGTCGTTTTAAGGCAGAACCAGCTTTTTTAGTCAACTGACTCACTTCTTTGAATGTATATGATCTTCCTGTTGGACCATCACTCTGAAAGAAAAATGTCATGAATAATGCAAGTACAGTATGGTAAATATATTGAACGTAAATTAGACAACTTACACTAGATAATTGCGATATTGTTTTCCTACACGACAATGATCTCGAAAAATGGTTAAAGTTTTACAAGCCATATAGGATCTCTCGATTTCTCGACAGTTATCATTTCGACGTATAAACAGCCGGATGCGACTTGTCAACAATATCTCGTGACCCAAGACAGACAGTCGATGCTCCACTTCAATACCTCCAAAAATTAATGATATTCTTTCTGTATTTTTTCTTTGGTATTTTCACTTCCAGTTCTGAGCTGGTGACTAATAAACAAGGCGAAAAGTGTACGATTTGTACCATGAAAACACGCGTTGAGGTCCGGAACATTTCTGGATGTTTATTACATGCAAATATAGACAAATCGGTCTAGTGATGTGCATTGTTTTAATACATACTTACAATGGCTTTTCGATCTCCAAACAACTCAAATCGCTCTAACATGTATTGGACGTACGACTTATTCGTCGGTAGTTGGATATCAAGACCATAAGAAGATGGWCCAATTATACCGTGTGTACTGCTACTGGATAAAAATGMTTGCTTCTGCAAGAGCAGTCCTGTGATCGGACTCGTACGCTTTGGAAGTGCGCCAATTAGTTTTCGTATGATGAGTGGTCTTTGAGATACTGCCCTTGTAATCATCTTAATTCTGTTAATTGAATTCACTTATCCTATTTATGTTGAGACAAAAGCCGCGAATTGAAAATATTCAAGACTCACCACGCCAGACATACAATAAGACTGWATAATCTCCTGTTACCAGGGGTCATCAGAGAGTCACGCATATCAAGATCGAAAAATACTAAGGACTTCAAATTAGTTCAAGAGGATACCAAAAACAGCATTTTTGTTATAACTAGACCCTGACAGCAGGGTGTACTCGTGCCCTAAAGGTGTTGAAAAGTGCTCCGTACTTATTCAAAACTAGACCCTGACAGCAGGGTGTACTCGTGCCCTAAAGGTGTTGAAAAGTGCTATCTTATTCAGTACTTTTTCAAAATGATCTCATTTAAAACTTTTCTTGTGTTTGACCAACCATGTAATATACTGTCTTTCTTAATTTTCAAAAATAGTTCGACCGAGTCGAGGCTCTAAGGAGGGTCTGGTTTAGATGTAAAGAATAGTGCTACCAAAGCAGGGGCGCCGGAACGTTTTTGGCCCTGGGGGGGCTAAGAAGATTAATTGATATTGTGGTCAAGAAATTCTTTTTTATTATTAAAACAAGCTTTATTTTACAGTAAATATAACTCTTAATGAATTACATTATAGGAAAATACGAAGAGCTTTTATCATGAAACAAAACCAAAGACGTTATTATTATATTCATATTATCATAAAATGTTTATAATTTTCGAAAATGCTGGGGGGGGCTACAAAGGCATGCAGTTCATCTATACTGATAAATCACAAAGTGATTTGAAATCAAACTATATTAAGAGAAAACATTTGTGAACGTAACTCCTTGTTGATTACTTTTCATGTAATATTTAGCAGCTTTTGAAGGAAATAGATATACAATAATTTTTGACAAATCTTTAAAAGCGTAGAATCAAATCGTTCACTCTGATAGTCTTTCGCGTGAAACATAGTAAGAAATTAGTTGTAGTAATTTAAAGGTCAAGTATACTAATACACCAATCAAAATCAGACAGCTCGGCGCCGTGTGGCGAGCGATGTTTGCAAACAGGAATACCCTGTTCCCCTGCGCCGACAAAAACAATAGCGAAGAGAGAAAATATCAAGGTAAAACAGGAAGGGCCCGCTCTATAACCATGCATGATCGCTTCAATGATCTTCATCTAGGWATACTCATCTGTGAATAGCATTGTTTTCTTTAACCAGAAGAGACAGAATCCCTCATCAAATTAGAAAATATAGGCTATGCAACTCAGAACCAGACAGCCACGTAGTCAGCTACGAAGTATCGGTTTATATCTCTCCAAGGAAAATCAACTATTTGGCTCGATACACCAACCTTTATGACCTAAACCAATGTCCTAATACATGCTCTTACACAGATGAATGTTTTGGAATAACAAAAGGCCTCGAATATCAAAGAATTACTAAAAAACTACAGTAAATCCCGGGCAGTTATTGCTGTTCTATGATACTGTTAGGAACCGTGGATTCAATATAACTTCTTTGTTCTTTGGTTCTTTTATTGTGATCTCAGTTCTTCAATTCCATTCGATTC